TTTTTTAAGATTTTATTTATTTATTTGACAGACAGAGATTACAAGTGAGCAGAGAGGCAGGCAGAGAGAGAGAGGAGGAAGCAGGCTCCCTGCCGAGCAGAGAGCCCGATGCGGAGCTTGATCCCAGGACCCTCGGATCATGACCTGAGCCGAAGGCAGAGGCTTTAACCCACTGAGCCACCCAGGCGCCCCCAGTTTGGGCCTCTTTGTAAACCCTTAAGATGCAGTGGATGGGTGCAGGGATCCATTCTTCTTGTTGTCACCCAAGACAAGCCTTGTATGTAAGTTCCCTTTGCTTATTAAAACTGCCACCTACCCACCTGGAGTGGCCCGCTTCTTTCTTCTGTCTCTCCCTGAGCTCTGAGCATGGGGCTGGTTTCAGATTTCACCTGGGAAGCTCCCTAGCAGGTTACAAACTGAGAAGATCTCAGTTCCCTCCTCCGCAGACTGAAGTTGTGATGAGTAGATCTTCCAAGCCCTTTGCTTTTACCACCCTCAACACACTCCCAGAGAGGAGCCAAGGTCGAAAATGGCTATTCTAAGATTGGCCACAAGGAGGCGATGCAATTCCATTTTGAACAAACCCTGGCATTTGGTGTTCTTTAGGAAAAAAAAAACCCTGCCTTTTTGGGTTGCTTTTCAGACTTCTCACGCCCCCTGCTGTTTTTATTTGTAACTCTTAAATTGGAAACTTGCAGAAATGCTCAACATCATGGATTTGAAAACAACCTGTGTCCAGAACTGTGTGACTCATAGCTTTGGAAATATTCAGAAACATTCACTATTGATGAAATTGCAAAATTAAACTATTAATAAAAACATTTCCAAAGGTGTAAGTAGGCATAAATGACTGAAAATAAATCAGACATTTAAAAATATAAAAATACGTTAAAACAAATTTCATCTTTTTCTTCTAATGTTTTGTTTTTATTTTTAAAATTTTTATTTATTTATTTATTTTTCAAAGATTTTATTTATTTATTTGTCAGAGATAGTGAGCACAGGCAGACAGAGTGGCAGGCAGAGGCAGAGGGAGAAGCAGTCTCCCCGCTGAGCAAGGAGACCAATGTGGGTCTTGATCCCAGGATGCTGGGATCATGACCTGAGCCGAAGGCAGCCACTTAACCAACTGAGCCACCCAGGCGTCCCTTATTTTTATTTTTTAAATTTTATTTTATTTTTAAACAATTTTATTTATTTGACAGAGAGAGAGCAAGAGCGCATAAGCAAGGGGGTGTGGCAGAGGGAGAAGGAGTGGGAGAGGGAGAAGCAGGCTCCTCGCTGAGCTGGGAGCCTGACTTGGGGCTGATCCCAGGACCGGGAGATCACGACCTGAGCCAAAGGCAGATGCTTAACCACTGAGCCACCCAGGTGTCCCTCTTTTAATGTTTTATATATTATTTTTTCCTACTTTGTGGTCGTTGGATCAAAAAATATTAAGAGGCACTTTGGTGGCTCAGTCGGTTGAGTGAGTGACTCTTGGTTTCTGCTCAGGTCATGGTCTCATGGGTGGTGATATGGAGACCTGTGTCTGGCTCTGTGCTCAGTGGGGAGTCTGCTTGAAGATTTTTCTCCTCCCTCTCCCTCTGCATCTCCCCCGACTCTCACATGCACACCTGTGCCGTCAAATAAATAAATCTTAAAAAAAAGTGTATATATATATATATATATATATATATATATATATATATATATAAATGTGTATATATGTATACACATATATATAACCAATACAAAATAAAGGAACATAACAAAAACTCCAAGTCCATTCCATTTAGAGCCTATCATTGTTAGTACTTTGGTGTCTATCTGATATTATTGAGAATTTATTGTTTTTTTATCTTGCTTTTTTCACTTAATATGTTGTATACACCTTTCTCTTCTCAACAAATTAATTTTTAAAGACACCCCTCCCCACTGCTAAAAGGTTTTTTTTTTTTTTTTTTTTTTTTTTTTTTTTAAAGCACAGGGACAGGATGGGTAGGCAGAAAGAGCTGCTCTGGGGCTGTGAGGAGCAATTGATAATATACTTTGAAGTTGGGTGAGGCAGAGGGAAGCTTCTAAATAGGCTTTCCTATGCTAAAGACTCACAGGATCCTGGAGACCTAGATATTGTCAAGCTAAAGTTGTTTTTCCCTCTAGCAAAAACATTTCAGAGTTTTCTAGAGGAACGTCATATTGTGACTGCCTCAAGTATTTGTCAATGGCTGCGCGTTAGAAGGAAATTTAATTTTATCTACATTTCCTTCTTGCCGTTGTTCTCCGCATCATTCCCCCCTGCATAGTTTTGACCCTTTTCTTTAAGGCTGCTGAGGGCAGAAGGTCTTCTCTTCTGTAACTTCTTCCTGCTGAATAGGGGTATAGAGATGTCCCTGCCCATGGCAGGGACCCTTACACATAGGAGTTACCAAAGGCAGAGGCAGCTGATCTAACATGACCTGAGCTGAAGGTAGATGCTTAACCCACTGAGCCACCCAGGTGCTCTTAAGAAAAAAAAAGAAAAAAAGAGAAAAAAAAAAAGAAAAAAAAAAGACTTGGAAGGGTGGGAGAGAATCCTCAAGCAGACTCCTGGCTGAGAAGGAGCCTGAGGCAGGGCTTGATCCCAGGACTTTGAGATCATGGCCTGGGCTGAATCAAGAGTGGGCTGCTTAACAAATGAGCCACCTAGTTGCCCCAAGGGTTTTGTATTTCGAATGCTTTCCTCAGCAGCTGAGGAGAGGGTTGAATCCCTGGGCTGGTTTGGGAAGTTCTACCAGAAGTAGAACCAGTTCTGGGAACGGACCACGACTGAGGGCAACTATTAGGGCTGCAGGCTGAACAGTTTGGCAGATAGGCACTGGTCTGGGAGCTAGAACGCTTGGTTTCTTGGCCCAGATTCGTTCAGACCTTGCAGAGGGACACCAGATCCATACCACCTCCTCTGCATCGTGGTCTCTCTGTTGTCCTTGGGGTGGGATCCAGACCCCGGACTTAACTGCAGGGAATTCCGAGGTGCTTAGGCATAGTGATGGGGCAGGAGAAAACGGCTTCCTTCTTCTTGGACCCCACACAAAACTGCCTTCCCCCTCCTTAGCTTCCCCTGCCTACTTTCCCTCCCTATCCTCTGGGAATCAGGCTCTTGGGGGGCCAGAGCTCCTGGTGATGTGCCGCCTGGGAAGGGTGTCCTGAGGGCCGCGAGGACTCATCTGTGGGTAAAAGCACCCCCATGCCTTCTCTCTGTAGCCCGTGATCCTGTGTCTTCTCTTTCTCTCTCTTATTCTCACTCCAGCTCTTCCTCTGCCTCATGATGGATCTATTTTTCTTCTACTTTCCTGCCAGTCTTATTTATTCTGTCTGTTCACCCACCTTTCTGCCCAGTTTCGCCCCCACTTTCTCAAAAGAGAGCTGTTCCACCTGTCCCTGCTCTTTGCTCCTAGAGCCCAGTCCTTGTTGAATAGAAGGACCACCCTGGTGTCATGCAAGTTCCCAGGCTGGAGGAAGGTCTGCCTTCTCCCTCCACTCCCCTGGTGTATCTTCTTTCTGTTCTGAGGGATGTTCCAGGAGGGAATTGCTAGCAGCTCAGGCACTCACCTGTCCTATTCCTGGGAACTGGAATGTTCTTGTAGGCTATTTCACGCCTTTCCTGCTGCACTGGGAGCCTTTGTCTTTGCCTGGCTACCTTCTGGTGCCGCATGAGCCCCCTCTTGGATCCTTCTTCCAGCCTGGACTTGAGGACATGGCGGGTGGCAATGTCAAAGCAGTAACAGAATTTGTTTTGCTGGGGTTCTCAGGTTTTGGTTCCCTTCGGGGCCCTCTGTTTTGGGGAGTGCTTTGTATCTGCCTAGTTACCTTGTTGGGCAACTCCCTGATCATCCTCCTCACGCTGGCAGACCCTGCCCTGAACTCCCCATGTATTTCTTCCTTCGCCACTTCTCCGTGGTGGAAATCCTCTACGCCACAACTACCATGCCTAGGATGCTGGCTGACCTCCTGGCCTCCTGCCCCACCATTTCACCTGCCAGCTGCTTCACCCAGCTGTATTTCTTTGCCCTCTTTGGCATCACTGAATGCTGTTTACTTACTGCCATGGCCTGTGACCGCTATGCTGCCGTTTGTAGGCCCCTCCATTATACCACCCTCATGAACCAGGGAGCATGTGTGAGCATGGTGGCGGCCTCCTACCTCATGGGCATCATCACTGGTACCACTCACTCCATCTTCATCTTCACTTTGCCCTTCTGTGGTGCCAACACAATCCACCACTTCCTGTGAGACATTCTGCCTGTGCTGAGACTCGCTAGTGCCAGCACCTTCTGGGGTGAAGTGGGCAATATTGCCCTTGCAATCGCCTTTATCCTGACCCCCTTCTTACTGATCATAGCCTCCTATGGCTGTATCCTTGCCACCATCCTGGGGATCGCGACATCTCAGAGCCGTCGGAAAGTCTTCTCTACCTGTTCCTCCCACCTGTTTGTGGTCATGATCTTTTTTGGGACTGGGACTGTTGCCTCTATGAGGCCTTGGGCAGGCTCCTCGCAGGACATGGACCAGATCCTTGCCTTCGTCTACACAGTTGTCACTCCCATGTTCAACCCTTTTGTCTACACTCTGAGGAACAAGGAGGTCACAGGGGCAATGAAGCGCCTTGTGAAGAGATACATTTGGAGCCCTTGATTCCCTTGAGTTCTTGATGATAAAGGCCTGATCCTTGGGTATTTTCAGAGGGAGAAGCTAGGACCCTCAGTCCCCAGGACTGTCTGTTCCTGTTCTGTGCATTGTGATTGTGGGATTCGTTGGCCTGCCCAGCTGGAAGGCCCAAGCCACTGATGTGCTGCTCAGCTCCATGTCTGGAAGTCTCCTCTTATGGCCTTGACCTGACTTGTTTGTAGGTGCAGAACTGTAGAAACATGCACTTGAGAGCAGGATGAGGAGGGAAGGTGACTGTGCCCATCTTGTATGCAGACTGAGCAATTCTGCTCTGTTCTGAGGCTCAGGGCACCTTCTGGGGGCTACGATTCCTGGAGATATCTCTTTCTTCTTCTCCCAGACTCCATATGAGAAAAGCCTTCTCTCTTGTATCGGTTGCCTGTGGTACAGCAAGAGCTTCATTTACCCCAGGCACAAGGTGTGGTCTGTGTGACTGGGTTGGCAAGGTAAGGTCTGGCTCAGAGGCTCAGGTGCCCAGTCTTTCTTGGTGTTGCTTTAGGTCTGGAAGCATCTGTTTAGTACTTCACTCCTGATTTACAACAGCTATCCTGGGATCCCTGAGATGTTGATATTCTCTACTTAGCTTCCTTCTCTCTGCTGCCTGACTTGCTCTCTATTTTCTTCTCTGGTCCTAAGGTAAAAAGGCACATACAATTTCTCTCCTATGACCTATCAAAAGGTCCAACCTGACCCCTAGACTCCCAAGACGATGCTTTTGTTTCTTGTAAACTGTCCCCTATTTCTACATGGAGGCCACCTTGATTTGCTGGCTGGAGAGACCTGGCACCATTTTATTTTTCTTGGGAAGCTAGTTCTTGTTTGTTTATAAACTCTCCTTCAGAAATAAGCCATAGGAGGGTCCAGTACAAGTGGGGAAATTACTCTCAAGACACAGTAAATGGGGGTTTTTAAAATAGCATTGATTTTCAGTTTACAAAATCACAAAATTGCAGAGAATTTTGCATTCAGAAGAAAAGAAAATAACTATTACCATTTTTTTTAAAAGATTTTATTTATTTATTTGTCAGAGAGAGAGAGAGAGAGCACGCGAGAGTGAGCACAAGCAGATAGAGTGGCAGGCAGAGGCAGAGGGAGAAGCAGGCTCCCTGCTGAGCAAGGAGCCCGATGTGGGACTCGATCCCAGGACGCTGGGATCATGACCTGAGCCGAAGGCAGCAGCTTAACCCACTGAGCCACCCAGGCGTCCCTAACTATTACCATTTTGGTGTTAATGTCCTTGGGAAATTATTGCACTCAGATTTCCCTCCATATGTGTATATAAATATATTTTTAAGAACTAAAAATGGGATTTTATTATTTAAATTGTTCTTTATTTTCCACTTTATTAACCTATATTTAGCACTTTACCATACAGGTAGACTTTAAAAAATTTTTTTTTTACTTATTTTTAAAATTTCTTTTCAGTGTTCCAGAATTCATTGTTTATGCACCACACCCAGTGCTCCATGCAATACGTGCCCTCCATAATACCCACCACCAGGCTCACCGAACCTCCCACTCCCCGGCCCTCCAAAACCCTCAGATTGTTTTCCAGAGTCCACAATCTCTCATGGTTTGTCTCCCCCTCCAATTCCCCCCAACTCCCTTCTCCTCTCCATCTCCCCATGTCCTCCGTGTTATTTCTTATGCTCCACAAATAAGCAAAACCATATGATAATTGACTCTCTCTGCTTGACTTATTTAATTCAGCATCATCTCTTCCAGTCGCATCCATATTGCTACAAAAGTTGGGTATTCATCCTTTCTGATGGAGGCATAATACTCCATAGTGTATATGGACCACATCTTCCTTATCCATTCGTCCGTTGAAGGGCATCTTGGTTCTTTCCACAGTTTAGCGACCGTGGCCACTGCTGCTATGAACATTGGGGTACAGATGGGCCTTCTTTTCACTACATCTGTATCTTTGGGGTAAATACCCAGTAGTGCAATTGCAGGATCATAGGCAAGCTCTATTTTTAATTTCTTGAGGAATCTCCACACTGTTCTCCAAAGAGGCTGCACCAACTTGCATTCCCACCAACAGTGGAAGAGGGTTCCCCCTTCTCCACATCCCCTCCAACACATGTTGTTTCCTGTCTTGCTAATTTTGGCCATTCTAACTGGTGTAAGGTGATATCTCAATGTGGTTTTAATTTGAATCTCCCTGATGGCTAGTGATGATGAACATTTTTTCATGTGTCTGATAGCCATTTGTAGGTCTTCATTGGAAAAGTGTCTGTTCATATCTTCTGCCCATTTTTTGATATGTTTATCTGTTTTGTGTGTGTTGAGTTTGAGGAGTTCTTTATAGATCCTGGATATCAGCCTTTTGTCTGTACTGTCATTTGAAAATATCTTCTCCCATTCCGTGGGTTGCCTCTTTGTTTTGTTGACTGTTTCCTTTGCTGTGCAGAAGCTTTTGATCTTGATGAAGTCCCAAAAGTTCATCTTCGCTTTTGTTTCCTTTGCCTTTGGAGACATATCTTGAAAGAAGTTGCTGCGGCTGATGCTGAAGAGGTTACTGCCTATGTTCTTCTTTAGGATTCTGATGGATTCCTGTCTCACATTGAGGTCTTTTATCCATTTTTAGTTTATCTTTGTGTATGGTGTAAGAGAATGGTCGAGTTTCATTCTTCTACACATAGCTGTCCAATTTTCCCAGCACCATTTATTGAAGAGACTGTCTTTTTTCCAGTGTATATTTTTTCCTCCTTTGTCAAAGATTATTTGACCATAGAGTTGAGGGTCCATATCTGGGCTCTCTGCTCTGTTCCACTGGTCTATGTGTCTGTTTTTATGCCAGTACCATGTTGTCTTGGTGATCACAGCTTCATACAGGTAGACTTTTAAAGCATGATTTTAATATCCTTATAGTATCAATATATGGATAGATGCTATAATTTTTTTTAAGATTTTATTTATTTATTTGACAGACAGAGATCACAAGTAGGCAGAGAGGCAGGCAGAGAGAGAGGTGGAGGCAGACTCCCTGCAGAGCAGAGAGCCTGATGCGGGGCTCGATCCCAGTACCCTGGGATCATGACCTGAGCTGAAGGCAGAGGCTTAACCCACTGAGCCACCCAGGCACCCCTAGATGCTATAATATTAAGCAACTCCTATTATTGGACTTACTCATTTTTGGTATAAATATTACAGAGATAGAAATCAGCACTTATATCTTTGTATTCCTATGTCTTTTATGAGCACAGACTTCTAGAAATAGAATTGTTGACTAAAAGCATGTACAGTTTTAGAGCTTTTGAAAGATATTGGCAAATTGCCTTCTAAAAGAATTTTTATTGTTTTACAGTACAATTTTCAGGGCAAGGAAGTGAATTAAGGGTCAAGAATGTGTTGGTGCTAGATGGCCAAGGGAAAATAAACATGGGGAGGTATGAATATTTAATGTTATTATAGTGCAGAAAAGGTCTGATAAAGAAGACAAGAACCCACTTTGCCTCCGTTGACCAAGGACTGGGTGAGACAGGTGGACCAAGAGGCAACATGAAGCATCACAGTCATATCCAAGGATAACTTCCTGACAGAGTTGGTGTCTGAACAAGATGAGGGAAGAGAACTTTTCCTCTACTGTTCTGAGCTAGGGATGTGACAAGAGGAGGGCATGATGAAATCAGACTGTATCAACCCTAGGTGGCTTAATGCTTTTCTCACTAGAGAACATGACATCAGCTCTGAAAGCTAAGGTCCCCTATTTTCAGGGTCCTAGATAGAATTGTTAGGAACATACAGAATGCTCTGTTAAATTTGGATTTCAGATAAACAACTAAACCATTTTTTAGCATAAGTATGTCACATAAAATATTTGGTCACAGGGATTTAGCACTGTTTTATATTTCTAGGGAAAGAAATATTCCGGGGATGCCTAACTGGCTCATTTGGTGGACCCTGTAACTCTTGATCTTTGGGTTGTGAGTTTGAGCCCCACATTGGGTGTAGGGATTACTTAAAAATATAATATATTTTTTTAAAAGAAATATTGGGGAGATGGAGAGAAGTGAGTTGGGGGAAATTGGAGGGGGAGACAAACCATGAGAGACTGTGAACTTTGAGAAACAAACTGAGGGTTTTGGAGGAGAGGAGGGTGGAGGGTTGGGTGAGCCTGGTGGTGGGTATTATGGAGGGCACGTATTGCATGGAGTACGGGTGTGATGCATAAACAATGAATTCTGAAACACTGAAAAGAAATTAAAAAAATATTTATTGTTCATCAGAAAGTCAAATTTAACTGGACGTCTTGTGTTCCCATTTGTTAAATCTGGCAAACATGTCCCCAGGTATTATTCAAGCAAGGTTGGAAGTCCATTTGGAGATGAGGAATTAGATAAAAAGCTCTGCTCACCTCCATTCAGGAAGAAGGAAGCCTCTTGGGAAATAGAGTAGTTTTCTGTGACATGAACTTTGTTTGACCAGAGCTCTGCTCTGAATACTTGTGTGAATATTGCTCTCCTCTAAGTGCACAAGAGGATGTGGAATTCTGAAGATGGAGAACCCCATATCTATCCTGGGGAATCAAGGGCATTAAAGAGTAGAATGGGGTCCCTTATTTTATTGGAAAGTCTAGTAGTGGAGAGTATGGAGCTGGCTAAGGAAGTTTGACCAGAGGCTAGGTTATAGATGACAGTATGGCACAGTGCGTTAGAGCTTGGTTTTGGCGTGAGGCAGGTGCAAGATCAAATCCTGACTGCTGTTTACTATCTGTAAGACCTTGGGAGATTTCTTTCTTTTCTTCTCTCTTTTTTTTAAAAGATTTATTTTTTTATTTGAGAGAAAGAGAGAGCATGGGTGGGGGGAGGGGCAGAGGGAGAGAGAGAGAGAAGCAGACTCCCCACTGAGCAGGGACCCCTGACATGGGGCTTGATTCCAAGACTCCGGAATCAAGACCTGAGCCAAAGGCAGATGCTTAACCAACCGAGCCACCCGCGTGCCCCACTTTTTAAAGAAGA